GCTTCTTTCGGCTGAAAATCGCCCCCCCCTCGGCTGCTTTTCTCGGCGGGGGCGATGCCGGGGGGGGGGCTCCTCCTGGCCTGTTGCCCCGCCCATTTGCTCTTGGTCGCTGCGTCCCCTCTCTCGCTGTGCCCGCGTAGGAAGGAGATCAGATTGACTAGTAGGGATATCTGCTGTCTGCCCGTTCCGTAAAGACTGCGCCAGTCCAGGCACAAGGCCTGCCACGCAGCGGCAATGCACAGCAGAAGGTCCAAGCGGTTTACTCCCGAGGGACAAATGTACAGCAGCAGCCTCCTCTTCCAGACGAGTATCCGCAAGAAGAGTCTGCAGTTGCTGCCCTGTCGGTGTCAAGGGGAGACCTTCAAGCAGCTGCTTCACTGGCTCATCGAAATGACCCGGGTTCCCGATATTTTCCCCTTTGGAGGGGAAAAAACAACCTTGGGGAGGAGAGCGATGGGAATAGAGGCCCGCTGAGAAAGGGTTAAGCACTTCCGACATACCCACGGCTGCCCTTTCTTTCTTTCTTTCTTTCTTTCTTTCTTTCTTTCTTTCTTTCTTTCTTTCTTTCTTTCTTTCTTTCTTTCTTCTCTCTTTCTTTCTTTCGATTGGTTGATCACATGTCCCACCTCTGCCTCGGCCTGCTTCACTCTTCTGGCGGGACCCTGAAAGGCACAGAGAGGGTTGATGGGCCTTTCACGGCCCCCAGGCAAGGACCATCTCCTGCTAAACAGGCTCCCGTTAAACTTTTTATGAAAGGGGCAGGACATGTTCCTCCAGGCCTGTTGGCAACCCTCGTCGCAGCTTGCCTTTCTTACAGCTTATGTCGTTGTTAGTGTGGAAGTCATTCCCATTCTACTCAGTAGGGTTGACTCAAATGGGCACTGGAAGGGACCCATCTGCCCCTGCGGGACCGCCGGGCCTTTTCTTTTTGCTTAGGGCCTATCTAAGGCAAAAGACAGCATAAGGAACACGAAGTGGAGTTGAAATAGGTATGCAGCCCTGGCCTGGAGCTGCAACTTGTGCTACTCTTTGCATTCTACGGGTAGTTCAAAACTGTAAATTATTTTTCGACATGTTTCTGATATTTGCTCTCCGGTTTCAGCCAGTCTACACTTACAAAGGGGAACTGGGGAGCAGGCTGATCGCTCACCTTAGGGCTCCTTTGCGGGTTTAAAATTCCCAGGAGGGGAGACTTTATTACCTTTCTATGGGACTCTCTGGAGAGAGGAAGGGCCAGGGGGAGCCAGAGGTGACAATGGACAGGAAATTGTTCGGTAGGGCTTCTTGGGACAATAACGAGCTCGTTAAACAGGAGCGACACAAGAAGGGGGAAAGGGCCTTGTAAAAGCAGGACGTCGCGGTTTCAAAATATCGAATGTTCCGTGGAGCACGATCTGAAGTCAGAAACACACACACCCCCAACCCCCCCCCCCATGCAATAGGAGTCCCTGCTTGGTAAGTATGCACAGAACTTCAGCCGAAACCATTGCAAGAGTAACCAGAAGAAAGTCGGGTTCAGCGCCATCCCATATGCAGCATAATTATAATCTGAAAGTCCTGCCAGGTTCTGTGGAATACACAAGGGAGTTAAAAAGTATCCAGTATTTTATTTAGGTGACAAGATGTGGTTTTTTTTTTTTTTAATCCTTTCTTTTATCTTTTACATGGCAGGCAGATCGGCCTAGTACACCAATTCCCCCGGAAATCTGAGTCCAGGTGGGTGTAACACACTGGTGATAGTACCCACCTGATCGGGGCACAGGAGCCCCTCGTTGCAATTGGACAAGGCCCTGTCCAGGATTACCTGTGGACTAGGCTGGCAGGACCATTTTAAACATAGTTGTACCCTTCGAAGTCCGTTGAAGTCAGTGGACTCAGAGGGATGGACAGTGCTTCGGATGGCACTGCCTGTGGGAAAAGGAAAGGAATTCGAGCAACTATGAAGGAGGGAAAGGTTGAATGCTGGGGAAATTATTGGGAGTTTAAGATTTTCTGGGAGATAAACCCGTAACTAGTGATCCAGGTATTATTAATGGTGCTCCTAACTGATGATCCAGGTATTATTCATGAAAAGTACCCAAGATGTAGGCTGTTCCCCGCTTAGACCCGAAGGTTTATCCGCTTATTTCTCCCTGGCTTTTCCAGCCCAAACTGGCTTCGGTGATTTCACTTGAGGGCGGGTGAGAAGCCCCTGATTCTACCGAAGCCGAGGGGAAATTCCGCACGGCATGGCTGACGTTCCCCATTTAAACGCTTTGTCTTAATGGGACCGAGATTTAAAGTGTTCCTGTAGCCCCCTCACATTAACCTCAGATTCCTGGGTTAAAACTGTCCAAGGCTATGATGTAAAGGATACCTGTGGAAATCCTTCAGTTGCAGGCAGTGGGCCTTCCCAGCAACCGCTAGTCCAGCGGTTAGCCTAAACCCAGACCACTATAATCCTTAACCATATTTACTGGGGAATAAATCCCGTTGAATTCAATGGGATTGACCTACGTGTCCACTTTTTCACAATATACTCGGGTTCGGCTGGGATTGGCCCTGCAGTTCAAAGAACTAGTTCCTCTCGCAACAACTGGGGTTCCAATTTAATCGGATTATGGGATGTGCTGTAATAACGATCCTAACATTATCTAAAAATAACCCCCCAAGAAACTGTGTTGGAAACAAAAAGTAAGGACAAGTTTCTTGACCTTTTTTTCCATTCACGGGATACCGAAGAGTGTATTTTAGTTGGGCTAGTGGCAAAGTTGTGCCGGGGAAAGGTGGTCGGCAGGTATAAACAATCTTCTGGTCCCTCTCTACTCTTGATCCAGGCGACGCATTTAAAACGGCTTCCTCAACAGAAAGTTATCGCCTCTGTTATTTGCATTTCGATCAAAACCATTTCCTCAGAAGGCCCATGGGTCTGAGTGGCATTCATGTGCATATAGATGCAGTTTAAAGACGGGGCTGGCTGTCACCGATTTGAAAGTGTTTCTAAAGACATGAAAGCACTGGCATCTATTTTAAGGTTCTACCTGGTCGGTCTGGCCGTAGTTATTTGTTCCAAATCAGTTTTGAGTTTGCTGGAGTGGCGAGGCGCTTCTGATGATGAGCGCTGCTGAGACAAACACAGAGAAAGTTGCCCACAGGTTACGGCGCTGTGGTTGATACGGACCATTTCCTCTTGGGCTGCAGAAGCCGCAGCCCCGGCGGCTTTGATAGAGGTGCAAACATTTGGGGGCAGATTTACATAAAATAGCCGTGTTTAATCCCACTGGCTGCAATTAACATCACAGGCTTCCCCCCGGGCACCGTTCTGATATGGCCGCAGGGAGCCAATCAGGTGGGCGGGCCGAACACATCAAAGAGACTCGTCTCCAATCAGGGGAGCCCCCTACCGGTATTGTGATGTCACCGGGAGGATATTTATAGGGGGGGACATAATTGCTCCCCGCTTGACCAGTTTCAAGTGGCGCTGTCCGGGGAGGTCAAGTGGAATTAACCCATCAGCACCCAATCCTAGAGTCCGCCCACCGCGCCCCTGGTCCCCGTCGCCGCTCGGAGCGGTGTTACCCAGGAAAAGTTCTCCAAGAGAGGAGCCGTGGGGTGCGTTAAACTGGAGGCGAATCTTGGTCAGTGAGGGGGTTGGGCGCGGGGGGGGTGAGGAGCCAAAAGGATGACTTCTCCAGGCACAGACAGTTCAGGCAAGAGCCTGCAGTACCGGGTGGATCATCTGCTGAGCGCCGTAGAAAACGAACTGCAGGCGGGCAGCGAGAAGGGAGACCCCACCGAGAGAGAGCTGCGAGTCACTTTGGAGGACAGCGAACTATGGCTGCGTTTCAAGGAACTCACCAACGAGATGATCGTGACCAAGAATGGCAGGTAGGAGGGAGGAAAGAAGGGAGGTTGAGGCGCTGAGGGCCTCGGGGATACCTAAGGCCGCCGCCAACGCCTGCGATCTCTTTCAAGGAGCTTTCACACACCCCACATCCTTCCTATAGTGCCTCAGATCACTGCCTCCTACCTACAGTACTGCTGTCGCCTCCTGCTGTTTCCTGGGGACACTCCTTAGTGCCACCATCTCTCTCTCCTGACCACCTGCCGGCCTTGGGCAACTTGAGTCTTCCCTTTTCCTTTTCTTGCCTGCTCAGGCCTCTCCAATGTTTCCCCTTGTGGCTGCGTTAATCCGCAGATGTTCCCAGCCTGCCCAGTTGTATCCTCACAGACTTCGGGCTGTTTAGTTATAGCCTGCCCTGGGGACCCATTAGCTGGATGCAAGGACGGAATATAAATCTTTCAATAAGTAACCCTGTAAGTGTAACTCTAGTCATCTTCCAGAGAGCTCGGATTAATTTCCAAAATCTATTCGATAGCTTCCTCCAATGCCAGAACAAGCCTGTTATCTTTAAAGTGCAAGACATTCTTTTTCTTTCAGTGCATCCCACTTATTTCACTGTTTGCAGTGACATATTTCCAAACAGAATTCTGCAGGCACATTTTGGGAGGACACCCTTTCCCCTATTTGTGCATAATTAAATATTACTCCTATCCTTTTGAATCAGAGGCAATTTATACTAGGAGGGGGAAAATGGGTCCTCAGATAGAGGTGCAAAAGCAGGAAGCCTTTGCACATCAGGCTTTGCATGCGTCCTATTCCAACTTAAAGTCAATGGGATTTTACAGGGTTCTCCAAAAATAAGATGATACAATTTGATTCCAAACAAAAAGGAATCTTAGGCACCTCAAGGACGACGATATGTGTATGTTTCCATGAATCTGGTAGTCTTCAAAGTGCCACAAGACTTTCTTTTTGTTTTTCCTGCACTGGCTACCTGACTTGAATTTGCAAAGGTGGGGTAGAAACTTTCAGGGCTTCAGGGGGCTACGTAATTGGCTCTAAATTTTTTAAAAACACACACTTGATTATTTCAAAGATCCCAAACACATACTTTAGGGCAAATGTACATTACATTACTATTTGTCAGTAGTCTTAGAAGTTTCAAGAGGACTTGCTTCCTAGTCAATGTCCTAATGATTATAGCCTTTAAAAGCCCTTAAATCCTGGGAGTTTGCATTCTGCTTCCTTCCAATTATCAAAGTGATTTATTCCATTTTAAAGGTTCTTTTCAGATATTAGAGTGATTTGCTGTGTATGGGGGTGTTTCAGACTGAGAGAACCTGAGATAACCAAGCCTGTGTTTTTGGTTAAAAGCTAAATTAGGGAACACATGAAGCGCCCTTATCCCATTCAGGCCCTTGGTCCCTTAAGGTCAATACTGTTGACTCAGACCAGCAGCAGTTTTCCAAGGTCTCAAGTAGAGGTCTTTCACATCACGGATTATCTGTTCTGTTTTACTTGGAGATGCCAGGGACTGAGCCTGATATCTTCTCCATGCCAAAGAGATACTCTGCCACTGAGCAACAGTGTCTCACCACAAGACACAAGGCTTTCTTCTTCTTCTGAGTCTCAAGGCTAAGATCCCATGCACAGTTCTTGAAATTAAATGTCATTTAAATCTGAGCCTTCCCTGTAAAAAGATATAGGACATAAAGGTCGGAATGCAAATTGACATCTCTCCAGTGGAATTACCTTCCACCGTTAGTGATCAGTGGATTGTATCAGTGGACTTACAGCTCAGTGGTAATTCCCTAAAGACATTTGCACCTCACTCCCAATACTGTTTATTTGTAAGAAAGTCAGATTGATTTCGGTGAAATGTGCTTTCAAGTAAACAGATTTATACTGCGATCTTGCTTAGAATTACTCCAGACTAAACACACACACACCCACACACACACACACACACACACCGGCCTTAGACTGAAGTAACTCTACACAGGAAGGCACTTGCAAGAATCAGAGCTGAACCTGACAGAGAAAACCCTAACCTCCTAGGTTTATCTCCGGCTAAGGTATTTGTGCTTCCTATGCAAGCGTGTGGTCTTCGTCCTTGGAAGCCTACGACGGCAGCCTCGCAAAAGCCGCAGGGGGGCTGGGCGACCTGACCTTGGGGTGGTTTACTGGGAAGGAAGGCCCACTGAGTTCGACGAGGCCTACTGGCACCACGTAACCGCGTAGGGGTCAGAGTCGTGCCGTTCAAGCGCTAGGCGAGTGGACAGGGACAGCCGCCGGATTTCAGTGCGCCGCCGCCTGCAGCGTCCAGGGGGTTTCCGTTTATGGCGGAGCTCTAAGGCCCCTGGGGGGGAATGGCGGCGCCGGGTCTCTTCCCTGCGGAATGGCGGGGCTTGGGTCGCCGGTCTCCTGAGGCGGGCGAGGGATTCCGCGGAGACCAGGCCCGGCGTCAGGCCCGGCCGAAGGCGCCGCCCGCCCCTCCTCGCTCCTTGCGTTGCGTCTCCACCTTGCAGGCGGATGTTCCCGGTGCTGAAGGCCAGCGTGTCCGGCCTCGACCCCAACGCCATGTACTCCTTCCTGCTGGACTTCGTGGCCGCCGACAACCACCGCTGGAAGTACGTGAACGGGGAGTGGGTGCCGGGCGGCAAGCCGGAGCCGCAGGCCCCGAGCTGCGTCTACATCCACCCGGACTCGCCCAACTTTGGCGCGCATTGGATGAAGGCGCCCGTTTCCTTCAGCAAGGTCAAACTCACCAATAAACTCAACGGCGGGGGACAGGTGAGGAAGGCGCGGAGGGGCGGCCGGAGGGCCGGGGATGTGGGTGTGGGTGTGGGGAGAGAGAGCAGCCCCTTCGACATATGCGAGCTGCGTAGACGGAAAGGGTGTGTGTTGTATTTGAGCGACAATTCGCAGACTAGGGCGGTGGAAAGTGTTCGCGACTTGCAGACCGCAGGGACTAGTGGCCCAGTCCTCTAAGAGTAGCTTCTCTGTCACTGGGACTTCCAGACACAGGCTCTGGCCTCTTTATTCATACCACTGTGTACACACTTTCTCCTGAATGCATCTTGTTGAGGTTACTTTCCTTGACTGTACCATCTGGGTTCATAAATGGATTTGCAAAGCCAGATGTGTTGGGAAACTGGCAGCCAGAGGTGGCAGGTAACTACATTGAATGGAATCAAAATGCAGAACAAAACCTAGATGCAATTCCATTTATCCTATCCACCCAAGGCAATGTGTGTTTGTACTTGGATTTAACCATAATCATTTCATTCTTGAACATTTGAGTATTGTTTTGTCTTACTAGAATTTTAATCTATAGTTTGGATCTCGCAGTACACATGGAATAGCTGTAACTCAACAACATTCAGGCTGGAGCAACGCACTGGCCTGGCCGTGTGTGGCTACATGTAACTGCTTAGAGTAAGATGCTTTCATTCCACATTCAGGTTTATCCTCAACAGATGAAAGTAGATGTGTAGCACACATACAGGCGTGCTGACACCTTTTTAAAAAAGGCATCTTTAGCATCTTCCCAAAAGAAAATAGGAACAGTAATCTAATGCAGCATGTACCAGAAAACTGAAACTGTCTCTGGTAAATAAGGACAACTGGAACATCTGCTTACCCTGTCTGCTTGGTAATTGTGAGGTATAAAGGTGGAATGAAACAGGCAACAGATTTTAGGAGGAGTCACCCAATTATTTCATTTATTAATTACATTTTTTTAGTCACTCACCTGAAAGGTCTTGTGGTGACTTACAACATTAAAACCAATAAGATTAAAAACAAATAATAACTATAAAATATTAACATTAAAATATTAAAATGAGTACCGATCACCATACCACTATTAAAACAGGCCAAACACATGGTTACCCTCCAGAAGCCAACCAAAATGTCAGCTTTGCAAGAAGCCCCTAGACAATAACCGAAGGAAGCATGGGGGAGAGGCAGTCATGTAGGTATGAGGGCTCAAGATTGTTGAGGGCTTTGAAGGTTAATACCAACACCTTGAATTGGATGCAGAGACTAATTGGTAGCCAGTGCAGCTGCTGCAGAATTGGAGTAATATGAGCTGGCCAAGATGTTCCAGTCAGTAACCTGGCAGTTGCATTCTGAACCACCTGCAGTTTCTGAAGCCTTTTCAAGGTTAGCCCTACATAGAGCAAATTGCAGTAGTCTAATCTGGAGGTGACCATTGCATGGATCAGTGTGGCAAGGTCTCACCCAGACAAATAAGAAAACAGCTGGTGGGCCTGGTGCAGGTGAAAAAAATATGGGTATTTTTTAAAGGAGGTGGAAGTGTCATTTGGATTTTCCTTTTGAGGCACCAAAATGCCTTGAATCTGCCCAGCATGTTGGACGCTGCATACTCATTGCTGTTAGTTGAAATGAAACACCGAGTTGTGGCAGGATTGCTGTAGATAAAATGTGGCATGGGGCACAAAATTCCGTTGTTAAGTTTGTACCTTTTCCTGGTTAAATAAGTTATGAGAAAATTTTACAATCTGTATGTGGATTAAAGTATTGCATAAGTAGCAAGTACTCCCCCAACCCTAGTTGGTAGCATTAAACTGGACGCACAAAATTCCGTTGTTAAGTTTGTACCTCTTCCTGGTTAAATCAGTTGTGAGAAAATTTTACTATCTGTATGTAGATTAAAGTATTGCATAAGTGGCAGGTACTCCCCCAACCAGTGTTCCCTCTAAGCTGAGTTAGTGTGAGCTAGCTCACAGTTTTTTACCCTCCAGCTCACACGTTTTTGTCTTAGCTCAGGAAGGAGGGCTCCAGAGCAAACTAATTTATGCAATAGCCAAATCACTCGCTCACAACTTTAAGGCCAGTAGCTCACATAGTCGAATTTTTGCTCACAAGACTCCACAGCTTAGAGGGAACATTGCCCCCAACCCTAGTTGGTAGCATTAAACTGGACAGAGGGGGAACTACCAAAGGGGGAAAGGGGTCTCAGTGAATGCAGAGATTTTATGCAACAGTTACTCTTTCTGAATATGTAACTGGGGCTAATTTTACTAGTGTCCAGTCTGCAATTTTGGATGGCTCTGGTCAGTCTTTATGTGGCTTGCAGGTGTCAGGTAGATTACATCCGAAGCTACTCTCAAAGAGAATTAGTTGCTTTTTCTTAGAGTCTATCATATTTAACACATATTTAACCCAAAGACATTTTCGTATATGACTTACAATTAAACTATTTCTAGGGTTGCCAACTCTGGATAAGGGAATTCCTGAAGATTTAGGAGTGAAGCCTGGGAAGGATGGGGTTTGGGGAGGGGAGGAACCTCAGCATGTTATAATGCCATAGGGTTGCACTCTCCAAAGTACCCATTTTCACCAGGGGAACTGATCTCTGCAGTTGGAGATCAGCTTTTATTCCGAATTAGTTGCTTTTTCTTAGAGTCTATCAGACTTTGGAAAATGGTGGAATAGATTTTGAGTATCTGGAAAACACATATTTAACCCAAAGACATTTTCGTATATGACTTACAATTAAACTATTTCTAGGGTTGCCAACTCTGGATAAGGGAATTCCTGAAGATTTAGGAGTGAAGCCTGGGAAGGATGGGGTTTGGGGAGGGGAGGAACCTCAGCATGTTATAATGCCATAGGGTTGCACTCTCCAAAGTACCCATTTTCACCAGGGGAACTGATCTCTGCAGTTGGAGATCAGCTTTTATTCCAAGGACTCTCCAGGCCCCACCTGGAGGATGGCAACCCTATATAGTACTGTACCAGTGCATACCACACAGGATGCAGCTATGAAGTAAAAGACTCGTGAAGCCAGCCTAAGTGAATGTCTGTACGGCTGCTACCTTCCTCCTATTTGGCCAATGTAGGCGGCACTAAGAAATATGGAATCTGTCCTGCAAAAAGGCAGGTGTATTTTCTCATGTCACTCCTGATAAGGAGCAATCACCAGGGGAACTGATCTCTGCAGTTGGAGATCAGCTTTTATTCCAAGGACTCTCCAGGCCCCACCTGGAGGATGGCAACCCTATATAGTACTGTACCAGTGCATACCACACAGGATGCAGGTATTTGGCCAATGTAGGCTGCACTAAGAAATATGGAATCTGTCTTGCAAAAAGGCAGGTGTATTTTCTCATGTCACTCCTGATAAGGAGCAGCTCAGCAAATTGTATTGCTCAGATGGCACAGTTCTCATGCTGGCCTTTGTTAGCCGTGCAGATTGGGCAGTAGTACAGGGCTTAAATGTCATGAGGATCTAGTTTCCAAACACTTCAAAGCACCTAATATGTATTAGCAAAGTTATTAAAACTGGTACCAAAACAAGAAATCTATTACTGAATCATGTGGATGGGTGGTTCAGTATTGGGAACGTGTTTCACTTGCTCATTTGTTCCTACAGTGGGAAAAACAGACCTGTGCCTCTTACTTGGTACAGATGGAAAATATGAATGCATTTACTTGACCGCAGGAAAGCCTTAACGGAGGCAGAGACAACTATTGTTTTCCAGACAGTATTGACTCTTTACAATCATCTGGTGACTGCATGCTAACTTCAGTTTTATGAAGGAAAAAACCCAGGTTGATTGTATCTGAAGGATCCTATGTAGACATTCCTAAAACCATTGATCTCAATGGAATTTTTAATGTATTTTTTAAAGTTTGTGACCAAGGATAGTGCATCTTGGTGACAGCTGTTCTGGTGACAGCTTGTCAAAATTCAGACTGAGCAGTTGTTTCTCTTGTCACACTGTGGTGAGGGTCAACTAAACTAAATCGGATGCTCTTGCTAAACTTTATATAGGAAAACTTTGAATTTGATTGTTGGGTTCTTTGGGTCATAATCCCCACTTTCAGATTTAAATTGTTTG